AGAAGAAGAAGAAGAAGAAGAAGAAGAAGAAGAAGAAGAAGAAGAAGAAGAAGAAGAAGAAGAAGCCCAGCTCAAAAGATGTTTCCTTTGTATCTGTAAAGGACAGAAGAGAGTTTAGTCTGGGAGGCAGGTTACATGATAATAGACAGGGTAGAGATGCTGTCTTGTCTCTTTGGGGGTCACCATATCTCGTCACCTAGCCCTGTTGCAGATAGGAAGGATGCAGAGTAGTATGAACCTCAGGTAGTCTTGTGTTGGGAGTCTGAATGCAGAAAAGGGTGACTTCCTCTTGCTGTTTGGAATGGGACTCTCAGATGCCAGCATTGTGTGGGCGTGGTCAAGGCTCCAAGAACCAGAGAAATTTCTAGGAAAGAAGGACACACAAGAAGATCCAGGGAATCTTCAGGAAGGCAAGGGATAGTTTCTGAGCACTTAAAGAAAATACAGAGAAATATAGAGAAAACTGAGTGACAGAATTTGGATCAAGACCAGGGGGCTATATAGGACAAGCTAATCTAGGGCCCCAAGAGGACAAGCTGATCTTATCTGCAGGCAGTGACTGAGATACTGCGTGTAGTGACAGGTGTTGGCATCATGTCAAAAGGCCATCTTCATGGACATCAGCTGAGGAGTCTCAACACCATAGGAGGTCCATGTTCAGAAATTAAAGAGCTGAGGGGTCTAAAGCTTAAAATATCCACTTTCAGGAGTGAGCATTGTATGAGCATGAATAGGAACCTGAGTCAACCTTGAGATTAATAACAGAGAAGAAAAAATGGAGGAAACCCTCCAAATACTGACTTTATTCCCGCTGAGTGACTAGATGACAATGTCATTTAAAAATCACCAATTATTCTAAATGTACTGAAACTGAATAGAATCATAATTAATAATAATTGTCTATCATTTGGAGACTGGAGCTCTCTAAGAGTATATAATACAAATAAAGTTTTATTTAGACAATGTAACTGTTACTGTGTGGATTTTAATCCTGATACCTGTGCACCATCACTCAGGTCTATTACAACCTTAAGTAGCAGAGATTCTGGTTTTATGGTTAGTTGATGCCAGGTCAACACACCAAGGAAACTTTACACATACGTGTGCCTAAATAGGCAGTATTAAAATCGTGGTCTGACTTCAGTTGTGTCTTTCCTATTGTTAACTTGCCACATGAAACATCTGAAACTCATTTACACCGTAGAGACTTGAGTGCACTCTCCTCAGACTAACGATTTAAACAGAGGTTGTTTCCAGACGCGAGAAGTTCTAACTCCATGATGTGACCTGGCGAAGAGAAGGCTGTAAGCTGCTTTTCTAGTAGGGGTTTTGAGAGTCACCGTCTTGATGACATTAAAGTCAAAACATGAAAAACACATTAAGAAATTGCACCAGAGTTCAAGGGAGAGATTAACCCCTGTCACGCTCATGTCTCCCAATTGCTGATACATGTGTCTCTGTCTCTGAGAGCAGGAGTAGACTGTCAGGAGAGCTTTCTCTATGTATGGGAAGTGGAAATGAAATAGCTGAACTTTTAGAAACGGATTTTGTGATGTTTGTTTCTTGCAAGGCAGGTGGTGAGAGACAGCTTCTACCAGGTTTTTGACAATTATTAAAAACAATTTTGCAGCCAATTTTTATGACATAGTTTGCACCGGAGTTGTCTGCTTTAATTATAACAAAACTTGAGGTGGGAAAGAGAACTGGAACTATCTAGATATTTCCTTTCTCTGTGAGTCAGGCACTATGTTGTGACAGAAACACACACACACACACACACACACACACACACACACACACACACACACACACCAGACTTACACATGAAAGGATTTAGTTCAGTTCACAGTTTCTTTTTTTAATATTTATTTATTTATTTTACATTATTTTACATCCCAACCTCAGTTTCTCCTCCTACTCTCCTCTCAGTTCCTTCTCCCACCTCCCCTCTGACCACCCCCTCATCCACCCCTCTGTTTCTGTTTGGAAAAGAGCAGGCCTCCCAGGGATATCAACAAAACATGGCATATCAAGTTGCAGTAAGACTAAGCATCTCCTCTTGTTTCAAGGCCAGGCAAAGCAACCCAGTATGAGGAATAGGGTCCCAAAAGGCAGCAAAAGAGTCAGAGACAGCCCCTGCTCCCACTGTTAGGGGTCCTACAAGAAGACCAAGCTACACAACTGTCATATATATGCAGAGGGCCTAGGTCAGTCTCATACAGGCTCCCTGGTTGTTGGTTCAGTCTCTGTAAGTGCCAATGAGCCCATGTTAGTTGATTCTATGGATTTTCTTGTGATGTCTTTGACCCCTTTGGCTCCTACAATCCTTCCTCACTTTCTTCAGCAGAATTTCCCGAGCTTGACTTAATGTTTGATGGTGGGTCTCTGCATTGGTTTCCTCCAGTTGCTAGAAGAAGCATCTCTGATGACTACTGGGCTAACCACCAATCTATGAGTATAGCAGAATATCATCAGTCATTATTACATTGACATTTTTTCCTCCAGTCTTACTTGGTTCTATCCTAGGTCTCTGGGCCACCCAGCGTCCAGATCCTGGTGCCAAAGGCAGTGTCAGGGGTGGACTCACTCTTGTGGTATAGGTCTCAATTTGTACCAGTCATTGGTTGGCCATGCTCACAATCTCTGTGCCACCCTTACCCCAGCACATCTCATAGGCAGAACAGACTATAGGCTGAAGGTTATATAGCTGGATTGGTGTCCCACTCCCTCCATTAGGAGTCTTGCCTGGTCACAGGAGATGGCCAGTTTAGGTTCCATATCCCCTGTTGCTAGGAGTCTTAGCTGAGGTTATCCTTGCAGATTTCTGGGAGTCTCCCTTGCACCAGTCTTCTACCTGAAATGCCCCCCTTATTTCCAGTCGGCTCTTTCAGTACTCTCCCCCAACCTCATCCTCACCTGATCCCTCATGTTCCCATCCTGCCTGCGCCCCCACAAGTCCACCCATGACATTTCTTCTATTTCCCCTTTCCAAGGAGATTCAAGTCTCCCTCTTGAGCCCTCCATGTTACCTAGCCTCTTTGGGGCCGTGGATTGTAACATGGTTATTCCTTACTTTGTGGCTAATAACCCCTTATGAGTAAGTACATACAATGTTTGTCTTTCTGGGTCTGGGTTACCTCACTCAGGATGATTTTTTTCTAGTTCCACCCTTTTGCCTTCAAATTTCCTGGTGTCTTTGTTTTTAACAGTTGAGTAATACTCCATTGTGTACATGTACCACATTTGCCTCATCCATTCTTCAATTGAGGTAGTTTCCAGGTCCTGGCTATTTTGAATAAAGTTGCTATGAAAATATTTGAGCAAGTGTCCTTGTGGTAGGATTGAGTACCCTTTGGGTATATGCCCAAGTGTGGTATAGCTAGGTCTTTGGGTAGACCAATTCCCAATTTTCTGAGAAACCACCATGTTGATTTCCAAAGTGGTTGTACAAGTTTGCACTCCCACCAGCAATGGAGGAGTGTTCCCCTTGCTCCACATCCTCTCCAGCATGAGCTGTCACTTGTATTTTTGATCTTAGCCATTCTTTCAGGTGTAAGGTGGAACATCAGAGTCATTTTGATTTGCATTTCCCTGGTAGCTAAGGATGTTGCAGTTGCAAGTTTCTAAAGGGACTAATTACTTCTTCACTTTATCATAGACAGGACACAGACAGAAGAACAACTAGAAGGAGCTAGGGCAAAATGTAGCCTCCATGGACATGTCCCCAATGACCTGCTTCCTCTAACCAGACTCCACTTCCCACAGTCCCATCACCTCCCAGTAACCTACACAAATTTTGAATCCGCCAATGGATGAAATCATACATCTAGTCAGAATATCAATATCTAGTTGTTTTAGAAAACTCTTGCAGAGAGACGTCCATTCAACTTCACAATGATTGTTAACTCTCAACCTTCATTCTAGATCATTGCATGAGCATTGATCAAAAGTGTATTCTTCAACTAATGTAACCAAGCAGTAGAGGTAAATGTCAGATTGCTTTCACCAAAACTCCTCACATGCCACAAAGCATTCCTACATTTCTATCATTTATTTTAGCCTGCTTTTTATTTAAATACAGTATGGCTAAAAGTCATCCTAAATGGCCGAGAGTTTTTTCTTTCAGTGTATTAAAGTCATTGCCCCAAGGCCTTTCTCATATTGTGTCTTACTAGGTATTTTCAGTCATCCTTAATCTTACCTTTCCTACTTGAAGCCTGTATTTTCTCTTTGACTGCTTTTAAAATACTTTTATTCGTACTGCCTTTTAGGTTTTATACACTGAAATGTGCTTCTCCGAACCGTATCTTGATACCTTAACCCCTAATGGGATAGGAGGATTGGTTGTCCTCCTAAGAGAAGAAGAAGAGTGGGACTTGGGAGAGGGCTCAGTGGCTGAAGGATTTGCTGCACAAGCTTGAGGAATCTGCAGAACCCCTGTAAGTACCAAGTGGGATTTTGATGTCTGTAATTCCAGTGCTGGGGGAGTGGAGACAGGCAATCAATGAGGCAAGCTGGTTAGTCAGCCTAGCTTTATCACCAAGCCCTGCATTCAACTGAGAGCTCTACCCCCAGTGAATAAAATGGAGAGCTAATGAGGAAAAGCCCCTGATGTCGGTCTTGCTCCCCGCAAATGTGCATACATGCACATGTGCACAACCACACATAGGAACATCCATATACACATGCAGACCCACCACTAACACATATTTTAAAAGAGAAAGAAGAGGCTTAAGTGCTCTGTATTCATGCAACACAGTCCATATGAAAACATGGCCAGAAACTGGCAGTCTGCTGCTCAAGGAAAGGGTCCCAACTAGACAGTTATTCCACTAGTACCTTAAATCTTGGATTTCCAAAAGAAAAAAAAATTGAATTTATTTAAACCTCTCAGACTTTGGTATCTTTTTTCAGCAGCCTGAGCAGAGTAAGACATTAGCAATCTGGTTATGCTATTAATTGATAAGATGGTTTTCATAATTTGTGTATTTGGAGCTCATTGAGCCTCTGGGAAATGTAAATTTATTGTTTTCTTCAAATGGGTAATATTTCTTTTTTGCCATTCAATTTTTTTTTCCATTCTAATATTTGTATTGATTATTTGGAAATTTCACATAATGCATCTCATCACAGTCACTTCCCAGTCTTCCCAGGTCCACCCCACACGACCTCTGTGACCTCCCTTCCCAAAAAAGAAATATGAAAAAATATATACCAAACCCTATTTGTGTTGCCCATATATTCACTGGAGCATGGTCAGACTCCCAGTGTGCAGGCTCTTAAAGAAAAATGGGTCCTTTCCTTGCCCCCACCCCAGCCAGAGGCCACAAACTGTGAAGCGCTTCACTTCATCATCTTTATCATAATTTTTAAGAGTTCTTTTATTGGCTTCCTGTCTGGACTGTTTCTTTCCAGGGGGTGGGAGTGCAGGTATGGGGGAGAGGTTGTCACAGAAGCCTTCTGTCTCTCATTCACAACTATGAGTCTGCAGTCCTCAAAACCATTGCAAAAGAAGTTTCATTGCCCTTTACCGTCAGCAGCAGCATAGATCATGGACTTCCCCATGGTTTCTGGTGACAGCACAGACCGTGGACATCTACATGGCCTCCAGCATCAGCATGAGCCTTGGACCCCAGCATGGTCTCCCATAGTAGTACAGACCATGAACATCAACATGGTCTTCTGCTGCAGGATGGACCATGAACACCACCATGGCCCTCAACAGTAGCACAGGCCACAGACATCCACATGTCTTCAGGCAGCAGGGTGGTAACATACTGCCATGAACATCAACACAGCCCTGGACCATGAACACCAACATGGCCTCAGGTGGCAGCATGGACCACAGACATCAACATGAATTCCAGGGGTAGCATAGATCACGGACGCCTACCTGACCTCTGGCAATAGCACAGACCCCGGACATCAATGTGGTCTTGTGCAGAAGGATGGATCACAGACATCAACATAGCCACCAGCAGCAACCCAGACCACAGATATCCATTTGTCTTCTAGCAGTAAAATGAACCAAGAACATTAACATGGCCTCTGGAAGCAGTAGAGACCACAGACACCAAGCAGAGAGATCATGAACATCAACATGGCCTCCAGCGGTAGCACAGACACGACATCCACATGGACCATAGGCATCAACACTGGACAGGGGCTTCAGCATGGGCAATTGAAACCAGCATATCCTTGGATGTGGCACAGACCATGGATATCAACATGGCCTCTGGGGATAGCACAGACAATGAAGGTCTTTGAGGAGGCCCAATCCAGAAAATGACAGCCATCATCTTGTCATTGCTCAGAGCCAGGGAGATCATACTCCCCCATCCAGCACAGCCTTCTCCCACATCTGACACCACTACCTTAGCATCTCTAGTTCTACTTCTTTCTACTACACACACTTTTTTTTATTCCCAAATAGCATTACATGCAAATACTCATTGTAGTGAGTCATTGGTCTGGTTCAAGGTTTCTAGTTTCTGATACACTATAAACAATAGACCATCACTGATACTTACCTCTGGTATCCTGCTGTTGCCCAGAGTTAGGGCGATCTTGCAGCTAGGCAGGGTATGTGGGAGCAGGATCTGGTGCTGGCTACCCTGAGGCTCACTAAGTTCAACTCTTGTGCTTGCAGCCTGTGGACAGTGCTATGGCCCTGTAGTTCCCTCAGTTGTTGCTCTCTCCTTCTCCCAACAGGGCAACCAACAGTGCGCTGCAACTATGGCAGCTTCATGCTGTGGGCCAGAGGCAGGCTGAGGACCAGCCTTATTCAGTGATGTTTCCAAACCTGCGGCTCACTGGGCAGACGGTTGTGCTTGTAGCCTGTGGACCACTCTAAGGCCCTGAACTCTCCTCCCAGCAGAGTAAGCAGAAGCAGCAGCTCCAAGCTTTGGGCCAGCCTGCAAAAATGTGAAATATTTCAAGCTATCATTTATTCAAAAGTGTTCTCTTCCAGTTTTCTCAATATCAGAACACCATATGCTATATCATATATGTTATGTTATTCATATGCTATATCACAATCTTAGAATTTCATTTATTATATGTGTTATATCACAACCTTAGAATTCTATATGCTATATAGACATTATAAATATATTAATGTCACTAGCCATAGGGAAACCTATTATTTTACAAGACTACTTAAAATGTATATTATATACATATGTTTAATGCAGTTATACTATATTACAGGATGATGCTCCCTTTAGGAGCCATAGATTATCTGAAAAAACCCCAGTACCAGGCAGGGGATACCTCCTTATGAGTCATTGGCAAAGCAGGACTTTCCAAGAGATGCCCAGACAATGTGCTATTTCTACTGCTTTTGGTTGCTTGCCAGAACATCAGTGTAAATCCATATTGATGAAGACAGCCCATACTTCAGTCACAGGATTTGGAGAACTCAAGCTGGTACTGACCTGGAAGCTTCCTCGTTGAAGGCTAGTTTTCACAGTGTCAGAAAGTTCCATGCAAGCTTCCAAAGGAAAAAAAAATTATCAGCAGTCTTACCTAGTTGTAAAGTCTGAGAATCATAATGAAAGATTGAGAATGATATCCCTACGGTACACTAGTGGCACCTGTATCTTGGGGGCAACCAACAGCTCTCTGATTATACCCAAAGCCTGCTCAGTTGGAGGGAACTCATGCCTGGGACTGTATATCTAACCGAGAATCTGCAGATGAAGAAATTATAGGTCCCTGAGGAGAGCCTACTTACTACTGCCATATGACTAAAGTAATGTAGTTTCTAATTACCTTCCAAATACTCAGTTTTGTACCCATAGATAAGAGCAACTCTTACTAAAAAAAAGTCTTTTTGAAGTAGATGGAGACTATTAGAGACCTGGCAAATCTACAGAAAATAATCAACTTTCGTGTGCCTCACCCAAAATGGAACATCTGTAACACGACTCCTACACCAAAGGCTTAGGGAACATCACAGAAGGGGCAGAGGAACGTAAGAGCCAGAGGATCAGTTTGGTTGCTCTAAGACAGATTCTTATAAACAGGAGAGGGATGTTGCTCCTATTAACTCTCAGCATCATGATTGCCTGCCCAAGACCTGCAAAGACAGCACCAGTCCACATGCCAACATGGATGGAAGAAAAGCTCACAAGGTTCCACTCCTGGATGAAGAGTTAGAGACAGTCAATGTCTGCTGAGGGAAGATAAACCAGTTTTATTTTTTTCAGAGATGAGACTCCAATCCTAATGGGGTCAATCCTAAAAACATGGAAATAAGGACAACATTAATATGAGTGTGTGTGTGTGTGTGTGTGTGTGTGTGTGTGTACATTCACACATATATCCACACATGTATGCACATATATACATATCTATAACAAAAATAGACATAGAAGAGGTCATGAATTCAAGAGATGAGATGATGGCGGTTGGGGGCATAGGAAGAGTTGGAACAGGGAGAAGTGGTGTGAAATGGTATACAAATGTATGACATTGCAAAGTATTACAGACTGAATGTCTGTGCTCTTCCTTCCTGTGTTGAAGGCTTAACCTCCAGTGTGATGGATGATATTTTGATACCTGTGTTCAATTGTGGTCTTCTCCCCTGAACTATAATCTGAAAATGTTTCCCCAATTGCAAAGTAGATTAAATAATCAGGCTTATTTCATCTTTACCTGGTATTTGATACACAGAAGCCACGGTTTCACGTGCTTTCAACAGGCTCTTGCTTGCTTGCCCTTTAGCCAAGAAGATTAGCCTAGTTCTGCTGCTCTGTTTTGGTAGAAAGAGAAGTTAATTTAGTTTTATTTATTCTTGTTCTTCAATTTATATTCACAGATACTTCATTTTTATCCTCACAGACTACCTTCCTTCTTGCTTTGTTAAGTTCAATTCATTAATTAAGAGTCTTTAATTAAGACACAACTGATGTTTAGAGAACAAGTCAATGGCATAAATGCAATAGTGATAGAGATAGATGTAGGACAAGTGAGTCTTTATGGGAATCCCTTGATATGTTGTCTGCAATCTGGAGAACAAGGACAATAGTGGCATGTAGTTGGAAGTTTTCCTGTGTCCTGCCTGGTCCTCAGCTGATCAGCCCCCAAGTAAACACACAGAGGCTTATATTAATTAAAACTGCTCAGCCATTAGCTCAGGCTTACTGCTGACTATTACACTTAAACTCAGCCCATTTCTGCTAATCTATATGGGTTCCATGGCTTTACCTGTGTGTCATTACATGCTGCTCCCTGGATAGCAGGCTGACATCTCCTAACTCAGCCTTCCTCTTCCCAGAATTCTCCTTGTCTGCTTATCCCACCTATACTTCCTGCCTGGCTACTGGCCAATTAGTGTTTCATTAAACCAGTGTACAAAAGCATTATTCCACAGCATTTCCCCTTTTCTGTTTAATTAAAAAGGAAAGTTTTAACCTTAACACAGTAAAATCATATATAACAAGACAGTTATCAAGCAAGAATTACAGTTACAATATCTAGTCTATTTATATTTGGCAAATTTAAAGAAAATATTTTATTTATCTTATATTTGTGAGTCTAAGGTTTCATATCTAACTTATCTTTTATCATAACTAAGGAAAATTATAGCCATCTAGTCTTTGACTACATCAAAGACCTCAGAAGGATACAATATAACCTAAGTAAACAGGAAGAGCATTGTGAGCCACTTTCAAACATCTAGAATGGCAGAGACAGCTGCCTGCCTGGACAGTCATCCAAAGTTCCTATTGCTGTGGAATAATGCTTTTGTACACTAATTTAATAACATGCTGATTGGCCAGTAGCTAGGCAGGAAGTATAGGTGGGATAAGCAGACAAGGAGAATTCTGGGAAGAGGAAGGCTGAATCAGGAGATGCCAGCCTGCCGTCCAGGAAGCAGCATGAGATGGTACACAAATAAAGCCATGGAACACATGGCAACATATAGATTAACAGAAATGGGCAGAATTTAAGTGTAAGAGCTAGTCAGTAGTAAGCCTGAGCTAATGGCTGAGCAGTTTTAATTAATATAAGCTTTTGTGTGTTTAGTTGGGTCTGAACAGCTATAGACCAGGCAGGACACAGGGAAACTTCCAACTATAGTGGCAGTTCTGAACCTGAGGATGGAGCCTGAGGACCTTGAGGACCCCGAGGGCTTCTGTATCAAGTTCTACAGTTCATGGCTAGAGAAACCACAAATCCAATGTTCAAGAGCCCAAGAACAGGATAAGATATTCCAGCTACAGGAGAGGGGGGGTCATAGAGGGAGAGAAAGAGGGATTGAGGGAGGGACACATAGAAAGATAGATATATGGGGAGATGGAGGGGATATATGAGAATCTTTCCTTTGCCTTTTTATTCTGTTGAAGCATTTAATGCATTGGATGGTACTCACACATCATATTGGGCAAAAGTGGATCTTCTTTACTTAGTCTGCTAATATAAATGTCAGTCTCTTCCAGATACATTTTCATAGACATATTCAGAAACGATCCATTACTAATAGAGTCAAATTGAACCCCCAAGTAGCCTTTAAAGCCAATAACCTTTAAAGTTGGTTTGGTTCCTTTAAGTTTTTATTGCGTATTTATTTATTTATTTATGTATTTATTTATTTATTTACTGTGTGTGTGTGTGTGTGTGTGTGTGTGTGTGTGTGTGTGTGTGAACATTGTGGTGGCATGCATATGGAGGTCAGAGGACAACCTTTGGAGTTGGTCCTATCCTTCTGTTATGTGGGTGCCTGGGATGGAACTTAGATAATCAGACTTGGTGATAGGTATGTTTACCCACTGAGCCATTTTCTTAAATGTTGCTGTTAAGTCCCAGATAGATTTAATTCTTCAATTAAAATTTCAATTATATGTCTCTGGAGGCTAGGGCGATAGACCAATCCGTAAAGTGCCTGTGCATATCAATTATATAATTCAAGATTTTCCTTATGTGATATAGTAGCTAGTTCCTGTGTGTGGCTGTTGAGTGTCACAAGTCCAAATTGAGTTGGGCCTTAAGTACAAAAACCTTTAAAATAATTTCTTATCTCTATTAATTTTTTAAACAAATGCATTTTACATACAGTGTTATATTTCCTTTCACCCTTTCTTTAGTATTGAATGAATGTACTAAAACATAAACAAATTTAGACTGTGGTTTGCATTGCATTTCTATTGGGTAGAGCCTTTCAGAACAGTTTGGAAATAACGTGAAAACATTTGTTCTTCATCCTAGGATGGTAGCGTGCACTTGGAGTACAGAAAATGTTTGACCATGAAAAGATGACTTGAGTTGTCAGCTCAGCTCTCTAGGAAGACTTCTGGTAGTTTTCCCAATAACCTTGCCACTTGTCCATGACTCTTATCAATGTTCCAGCCACTTTCACCAGGTCGGCTTTGTCGAGCCTTGCCTCTTCTGTGCCATGACAATCTAAACACCCTCCCAGGAGAGTGACTCACAGAGCGAGGTTTCTGCTGTAGCAATGTCAAGATCATCTGGGGATTTGTGAGACACGGGATTTCTAATACAGAGGAGGTAGGAGAAGCCTGGACCTTCTTTTGGATCGTTGTGATTCACACTGATGCTCAAGGAGCCTCTTCAAGGAGCTGGTGTTCAACCTTCCACAAATGTTCTTCTCCCTGAGTTCTTCATTTCTATCAGCCTTTCCTCTCATCCCAAAGTGAATCATCCTGGCCCTCCAATTCAGACTCCGTATTCAGCAAGTCATCAGTTCTCCCCAGGACCTATCTCCACAGGCCTGAGCTGGAACTGAATTGCCCTTACTCAGGGTTTCTGCCATCTTTCTCTTTGCTCTGTTTGCTTCTTTCTGGTTAAGCTGGACTAACTTTTTCTGCTTCAGTATTTTCCCTAAAGATCTATCTTCTACTTTTCTTGCAAAGTTCTATCTACCGGCGAGAAACTGTGCTTCATTCCTAGGAACCCACTGGGACCCTTGTTCCTCAAGCTACGCTGAAATGACATTTCTAGGATTGTCTGCATTCTCCCACCCCTACAAATCCTATCTTGCCAAGTTAAACATACCTGCCTCTTTCGAGTTATAGTTTTACTTCTACCTCTTTTTATTAGTGTAGTTGCTTTAATGGGTTTCTTGAGGGAAGGATTCACGTCTGAATGATCACGTTACTCTTGTTTGAAATGAGGAAGATAAACTGATCCTCTCTACAGAGATCCTTGACCTAGAGATTTTACACATTCTCTTGTGCCTCAAATATCCCTCTCCCAGCATCCTCCTGGGTCTTTCCTTCAATTGTTTTTAGTCTCTTTTTAAGCATCAGCTCTCACCTAGATAAATCTTACCCCTATTCCTTTTTTTGCTTAAAGAGTTTTCTTCTGTTTTCCCCATGCCACTTATTTCTATCAGGTTCATATTTTTCAGAAATATATTTATGTTTGCATTTATGTACTGAATGAATGGGAAATGTACTTGATTCCTAAGCTCCAATGATATATTTTGGTTCTGGACAATTAGTCATAACTACTAAAAGTTAAGAGAGTGTGGTGATAGAAATACATCACATGACATAACATGTTGTACATGATAACATGTAATAACTGAAAACCATTGTCGTCATTATCACTTTCATATAGACTGCTTTAAGATTCCTGCTCTTTCTCTCTGACAGACTTTTTAAGATATCAGGTACAATAACTTTGGATAATGAGCTTTTGTGCATAGAAAAGAGAAAAAAAGGGTAAATTATTGCTGGATGCAGGCATCAGCACATGAAACAACCTAGCTGGGTTTCAGGGTCTTGATTTATAAACAAGGGAATGAAAATCTCACACATCCCTTTGGCCCCAGTATCTGATCAGGGACCTGCTGGACAGACCTCGTTTCTCTTAGTCACTCATTCCCCTTTTGAAACTTTAGAATATCTTCAGAGAGAAACAGTCATATGCTTCTTGGATCTGATGTTTACCAAAAGGCTCTAAATAGCCTCTTTCCTTCCTCTATAAAAATACATAAGTATAATTGTCTCCATTTCCTCTTGATTGAACACAGTTCTTTCTGTCATTCTGGTCCCCACCCTCAATGTATTCTTATGATAAATCAACTGACTTTTTATAGACCACAGAAATCTTGGTATTGGTATGAATTTCTGCTTCAGTGCTTCTGTAACACTGTGTGACAATTGGGGTCTGTCAACTGCATTCTATATTAGAGATTCCAAGTGTGTTAACAAAACCAGTTGTTCTCAGAGCTAGGCTAACATTCTATCTCTGTTCAGCCTAGCTCTCTGCACATTTCATGAGCAAGCAGGTGCTCCTCACTGCTGTAATTTCAGTGAACTTTATTGCCAGCCGCTGCAGATTCTGCAGTCTATCTGTCTGATAGATGGCATCTTGCCCATTTTCTTGTGCCATGTCATGGTTTCATCACAGAAATGGTAGCTTGATTGTTTGGGATGTGACCTTTCATTTGCATTCCAAGAAATGTCAGTAATGAGGTCTGAGTTGTAATTGATTTGACCTGTTTGAGGACAGAAAGTAAGCAAAAGGACATTTTTGACTAAAAGGAGTTTTTCTTCTTGGGATACCTATAATTCCAAGACTATAGATATCACCTGAGAAAGACACAGAGGCTCAGAGCAGGAACTCCAGAGGCTTTTCTAAGTCAGGACGATAACAGAAAATTGTAAAGAAGGCTTACCAAACACTTATTTGATTCTCATTTGAAATACCTGAGCTTGTGAAACTGATCATAAAGGACAAAACTTACATCACAGAAGA